ATCCTACCGCGGAAGACCGGAGGACAGAACAGCACACCAACAGACGAGAATCCAAATCCCCCCCCAAGTATACGGGGGCATGAAAGTGGGCTCAAAAGGCGGGAAGTAATATCGACACGATAAATGGGGTAGGAAAAAATTTTTGAGACACTTGTGGCAAAAGTAGGAAGGAACGATTGGCCGTCGGTGATGGGTCCTGCGGGAACAGTTCTCCGTCCTCTCGAGGACGCGTGGTCAACGGTCAACCGCCAAGGCATGCCAAACACTTTTACACCACCGCCTCCCCCCCCACCCGAGCTCACCCGACTCCAGTGCCCTCAATGAAGTCCCTGGCCTCCTCGATGGTGGTCACGGGACCGTCGGTGCCGGGGACCACGGGGACGCCCTGCTTGATGGCCAGCTCACGCGCCGAAGTCTTGTCGCCTGCCGTGTACGCGACACACGACAACCGTATCGACGCACGTTGTCAGCCTACATACTTCACACACATGCATGATCGAACCACAACTTGTGCCCCGAACAAGCAGGGCAAGAGTGCGGACAAACAACAGGTATCTCATGGGAAGCGATATATCCGACACACAGAACCGAACTGGGAGAGAGAAAACCAACAGATGATCAACGCCCGCCTCTCGCAGCAGCCGTAGCAGACCGCGAAAACCTTGAGAAAACAAGCGAAACGCACACACGCACCAACACCCACACCCACACCCCGAAGTACCTCTGTACTTCATATTGGACAAAGTACCGCAGTCGTGCCTCGCTTAAGGACAACCTTTTTGTTCGCAGGCATGGTGGCTCGCAGCATGTACAACACAGGGAGGGGTATCAACCTTAAGAACACTCCCCCCGGCTAAAAGGACACTTTCTTTTTGCAAAAAAAAAAACGGTGTGTCCTTAGCCAAGGTTCGACTGTATGGATCCGGTGTAATTTCGTTGGGAACGGTTTAGGGTTAGGATTGTAGGGTCCACGTATCCCCTGCGTCTCGATTTCGCCTCAGCAGTCCGCACACAAGACACCCACACCCCTCCGGCCCTTTACCGAAAGTCTGTAGGTTTTCGGCGGTGGGTCCGACGAAGGTGACGCCGTTGTCCTTGCAGTGCTGGGCGAAGTCGGTCCTCTCAGAGAGAAAGCCGTACCCCGGGTGGATCGCGTCCACCTTGTTCGCCACCGCCATGGCCACGATACCCTACACACGCAGCAGTCAGCAGTAGTCAGTCAAACGCGGTGACGATACACGGACACACGGACACACGGACGGACGGAAAAAAGGCAAGCGTTCAAGAAGGAGAAGAAAAAGTGCCCTTTGAAGGTTGGTGGCCACGACAACCTACACGCAACTCATACACACGGACGGAAACATGACGATAGTTCAAGAAGGAAAGAACAAACTCCTGGAACGGTTGGCGGCCACGATACTGTACGTGGTGACACACGGACGGACGGACACACGACAAGAGTATAGTAGAAGAGGGAACGAACGATCACCTTCGGCGGTCGGCGGGTACGATGCCCTAAATGCGCCAAGCGGAAATGGGAAAAACAGAGAATAGATCACGGAAAAGAGAGCACCCGTGAAGGCTGGTGGGAATAATTGTGTGGACTAAAACGTGCGTGTAAATAGTCGCGTTTGTGCGCTCGAGGGGCTTCGACCCCACCGGCGTCACCTCGCTTTGCTTGTCCTGGGTCCGCGAGGCACCCATGACACGAAAACTACGACAACCTTGCCTCCCCTTCTTGATAAGGAGGGGTTCAGAGTGCTGTCGGCTCTCGAGTCAAACTAGGGATGCGAGGTCAATGATCTAACGACTACAGGCATGCACGACCATGAGTACCCCTCCCCCCCCCCCCCCCCCCCCTTGGTAAACCCCGATTT